GGGGAGGCCACGTGGAGACGGAGATGGAGATGGAGGGATGTGGCCACGAGCCAGGGACGGCTGGAGCCCTCAGAAGCCAGAAGAGGCAGGAAGGATCCTCCCCAGAGCCTCGGGAGGAGTGTGGCCCTGCCGACACCTTGAATCTTCTGGCTTCCAGAAACGAGAGAACAAATTTCTACCATTCTAAGCCACCCAGCTTGTGGTCATTTGCTAGGAGGCCCTAGGAGACTAAAACGGAGGCCTGCCTCCCCCCTCCCGTGATGGTATATCTAATGAGCACTTACTGAGCCTCAGGCCACTGCCCTAATGTGTGCAGGCTCCCGATGATCCCAGGAGGTGAGTATCAGAGAGACAAGGACTTACCCAAGGTCGCACAGCTGCGGGGGCAGGGGGAATGTGGACCCAGGCATCTGACTCAACCCCAGCATTTCTCCCCAAGAGGGTTCCAGGTCCACGCTCCATGGTCACACTCCTGGAATGGCGTGCTGTCTGGTGGGCAGAGAACCCCCAAAAGGGAAAAAATCTATTGCACTTTCTGTTTGCTTTGGGGGGCTTCCTAGGATTTATTGGGGAGGCAGATTTGCCTTCCTAATTCTGTTTGGTTTAGGCTAATCTGAAAAGACTCCCCCTCCCACCCCACACCCGAGTCCTGGGGGGCCTGAAGCCACCGTGGGAACCCGGAGCCTGCGTAGACTCTGCCCTGCAAGCTTCATGCCCATCTCTCTGTCTCTCTCTCCCTCCCTCTCTCTGTCTCTCTGTCTGTTCTTCTCGCTCTCTCTCTCTCTCTCTTTCTCTATCTGCCTTTCTCCAGCACTCCAGTGTCACCTGTCTGCCAGGCCTGGGGGGCACAGATAGGGCAGGGGGCAGGGGTTTTAGTCACACAGGCCAAGGAGGGGCCCCCACAGACCCACCTGCCATGGACAAGCAAACTTGTGCCCGCTGAACAGGTGCCCTGCCTCCTTCCCACAGGCCCTGGGGACATAAGCTGGGTGACAAAGCCAGCAGCCACCAGCAAGTGCCCCAGGAATGCTGCGCGGCCAGGTGTCACCGGATGACGTGGTGGTGTACAGCCTCCCGCGACCTCCAGCTATTTCCCGGGCCTGTGTCATCTCCCAGGGAGGCACTCAGGGCCCGTGGGTGGACAGACTGCTTCCTGCCTTCAGGCTGCCCGTGGACCCCTCTACCTGCCCTGCAGCCCCCACTCTCCAGGGCCGTCAAGGTCCCCAGGGAGAGGAAACGGCTGTGGGTGATCCTGTGGGGGCCTGGGGCAATAGGGGGCGCACGAGCCCTGCACCCATGTAGAAAATGAGTTCTTCCTCAGGGTGACGAGATGTCGGGAACAGTGGTAACTTGAGTGTTCTTTTTATGTAAGTGAGTACTTGTATGTGAGCGTGTGTGTGAGTGTGTGTGTGTGTGTGTGTGTGTGTGTGTGTGTGTTGGTGTCTCTCTCCTCTCCCCATCCACCTCTTCCCTCCCTGGTTTGGAATCCACAGCGGAGGTTGGCCAGGAGCCCTCAGGTCCCGGCTTGGGCTTGGTGCCTCTGTGGGCGGCACTGGGCCCTGCAGGAGCAGCCTTGCTGGGGAGCGCAGGGGAGGTGGGAGCAGGGGGAAGGTAGGGTCTGGGAGGCGTGGGCTGGGAGCTGCCACAGGAATACTCCAATCTACCTCGGTCTTGGCAAATGCCCAGGTGGGCCTCGGAGGCCCGATGTCCTGCTGAGGCGCCCGTGCTGGCTCTTTGCCCCAGGGATGGCTCCGGGCAGCCTGGCCGCCTTCCCCTGGCCTGGCCCTCATCGGGGACCCATGCTAGCCTTGAGTGTCAGCCTCTCGCCAAAAGCCCAGACCTCCCCACTCCCAGGGGCTCAGCAAGGGCCCTGCAACCATCCACTGTCGTCTCCCTTGAGGCCTGTCCAGGGGGACAGGTCCAAGAAGAGGAAGGTTTCAAGTCAGGAAACCAGTGCATGACCTCAGCTCCCCTTGGCCCAGCCCGGCACCTGGGGGGACACTGCCCTGTCTGCTCATCTGTGCAATGGAAGGGGCATGCAGATGAGGCAGGATGCCAGGGAGGGTGGAGAGATGGCGGGCAGGCACGGGGCAGGTGCCCTCCGGTGGAGGTGGCACTGCTGACAGCCACCAAGAGCAGGGCCCCAGGCGTGCTGACGCTAAATCCCTGGCATTTGGAATGCAGGAGGTGGGCTCACGAGAGGTGGGGCCTCCCGGGGCCAGGTCTGGCATCACTGTCACATCCTCTCCCTGCTCCCCGTGCTGTTGACTGGGGCCAGAAGGATGTGTCTGGAATGGGAAACTGTTTTTCTTCCTTCTAATGCTCCTTCGGGAATGAGGCCCATTAGGGGAGGATGGAGGGGGCATGCTCTCGGCCTCCCGCAGGAGCACTCTGTCCATGCTGGTGCACAAAGCATCACAGGGGGAATTTACAAGACAGAATATAACGAGGTGCCCAGGTGTGCGCAGGCAGCGAGTCCCCCCAGAAGACGAGGGGGAGGGAGGAGCAGCCAGAGTGAATGGGGAAAGAGGGGGGTGCAGCGCCAGCAGGGGGCAGGAGGTGATGGAGGGCTGGTGCTCCTCAGGAGCTCCTCTGTCCCCAGGCCTGTCAGCCAGGAGCCCCCTGCTCTCCGTGGACCAGAGGCACACCCATTCTCACGACTGGGTGGCCATGTGGACGACATATGGGCCTGCCTCCCGGTGCTTGCCCTCGTCACACCCTACCTTCCTTTGTAGGTTCTCTTGACGAGAGAGAGTTGGGAATCTGGAAGGGAAAAGATATACGTCCGCACAGTGTGGGGTGGGGGGGTGTCCCCCCAATCCAGCCAGCACTGTCTGCAGGGACCCAGCGGGGCTGGGGTAACTACACAGGCAGCAGGGTCCCAACAGCTGACATTCCCCAAGCTCTTCCTGTGTGCTGGGCACAGTGACCACGTCCAGACCCCCTGACCCTTCACAATCCCTCCAGCACCGGGCTGCTGAACCCCACTGACAGGTGGCAGAACCAAGGCTCAGAGGGGAAAGTACTCGTGCGGGGTCACACAGTGGCGGGGGCGGGGGCAGCCTCCAGTCCTGCTGGGCCCAACTCAGAGCCCGAGCCCTGGGCCAGCTTACTGCACAGCACCCTGGAGAGGGTTCCAGCTCCCCCAGAGAGGTCTGATACAAAGTTGAGACTCTTCCAGCCTAGGGACCCCGGTGGCCCAGTCTCCCCACTGCAAGGAAAGAGAAAAAAGATGCTCTCCCCATGGGACCACCGCGGAGCCATGAATCTCTTCCTCACTCCGCTATGAATGTCACACCACTTACTGGGGCCTTCTTGGCACCAGACCCCTGGTGCTGGCCCAAGGGATTCACAGGGGGCTTGCAGCGGTGGCCTCTTGGGGACGCTGAGCTCAGACCTGGCATAGGGGGAGCCTTCAGCAGCCCCTGCCCTTACAGTGGTGCCAGCTCAGGGGGCATCCCAAGGAGGCAGGCCTTGCCCACTGTACCACCCACCCCGCAGGGGCCAGCCGGCGGCCACGGCCAAGGCTGGGAGCAAGGCCTTGCCCAGTTCCTGTGGTCATCCAAGGAGAGTGCGCGGGACCAGCTGCCGGGCCGCCGGGCTGCCGCGCTCCGGGCACAGATGGTTCTCGTTCTGCTTGCTGCCTGCCTTCCCCTCTCTCCACAGGAAAAACAAACCAGCCTGGGGCCCACAGGCCCTTTTTATCTTGTGTTTATTTCCGTCTGTTTTCCCCCGCCTGCAGCCAGCGCCCTGTGGGCTGCATTTTGCAGAGGGTCTGGCTGGGGAGGCCTTGGCCTTTTCTTGACCTTAGGGCAGCTCTCCAGGGATGGGGTGGGGTGCTCCTGAGGAAAGGAGCCCATTTCCTGCTTGCACACTTGTCCTCGTCCTGCGGGGTCAGGCAACTTTTCCAGGGTTTGGAGTCTTCTGGCTTCACTGGGAAGGTCAGGATTGAGAAGGGGAGAAGGACAGAACCAGGTAAGACCTGCACGTGCCCTGAGGGCCTGCTGTGTGCCTGGCTGTGTGCAGGAGCTGGGCTGCCCCCGGACAGGGGAGAAGGTGCTAGAGCAAGCAGAGCTGAGGGTGGGTGGAGACGAGGCCACATGACACGGTCCAGGGCATCAGGGCTCCCAGAATCCGGGGGGTGGGGGGGTGGCTGGGCGCTGGGATACGGGATGGGGGTGGGCACAGCCCAGCTGCTCTGCCTGCATCCTTCCAGGTTCTCAGTCCTCCCCATTTCACAGACATGACCAAGGCTGGGAGGGGCCGCGTGTGGTCCAAGGTCTCAGAGGTGAGAAACGGCAGCGGGAGCTTGCTACCCTGCACAGCTTTCTGGGCCAGCTCCCCAACACCCTCGTCCTGGTAAATGATCTCCTCACTCCCCGCTCCTCGCAGACCCACGAATTCACCTTCGGGAACAGGAGATGTTGTCATCAGCTCCCTAGGTCTCTCTAAAGTAGGCAGAGGGGCCTCCCCCATGGCCCCACACCCACTGCCAGTGTGGAGAAGGGGTGAGGCATGTCGGGGCTGGACAGGAGGAGAGGGGCAGAGGACTACTAACGTCGGGGCGCCTGCCAAACAAAGGCAGGGAGGCCTCAAACAGCCCCTCATGTGAGGGCCAAAGAAAGGGGGCGGGAGGCCAGCAGGGCAGCACTGCCACACAGCGATGCCAAGGCCAAGCCCCTCCTTGCACTGGACCCTGGGGGGTTGGGGGCGCACCACTCGCTGTACAAGCCGCAGGCCCAAATGCTGCGGGCCCTCCCCGCCATGGCAGCCCCTGTGAGCTTCCTCCCCGCTGCGCGAGGAGGGAGGACGGACACGCAGCCGGTCCGCGCCCCCTCCCCGCGCGCGGGCGGCGGTGACATCACGGCCACGGCGGGAGGGGCGGCGCCGCGCGCACATCACTTCCTCGGCGCCTCCCGCCGCGAGGACGGACGGACGGTGGGCGGTGGACAGTGGACGCTCACGGCAGTGCGAGCGAGGAGTGCGCGGCTCCTGTCCTCGGCGACCCCAGCCCCATGGCGAGCCCGGCCGCGCCCGCCACCGACGAGCTGCCTGGTCCTGCACGGCGCCTCTACTCCAGGTGGGCTGGGCGGACCGGCGGGGACCAGTGGGAACCGGCGGGGACGGGCGAGGACCAGCGGGAACGGGCAGCCGGGGCCGAGGGCGGGTGGGAGGCGGGAGACGGCCGGCCCGGAACAAAGGCGGCGGCGGGCGCGCAACGTGGCGGGGATGCGCCCTCCCTGCGGGTTTGGCGGGGGTGTGGGCGCAGGGGCGCCAGGGGCGCGGGGACGGCGATGCAGGGGCACGGCTCCGGGATTGAAGGGGATTGCCGGGGAGTGCGAACGGGGGCGTGGGGGGTGCTGGAGCCTCCCATTTCCCCCTCCTCCCCCCATGACAGCCCGGGGACTCGCGGGTAGGCAGGATGGGCTGCTGCCTGCCGGACGCCCCAGGCCCAGCCCCCCGCCCCCGCCCAGTGCCCGGGGACAGGGGATGGGAGACTGGCAGCTTCTCCAGCCTTGCTGTCCTGGCAGCTGGGCCTTCTGGCACAGCAGGTATGTGGAGGGGGGCTGCCAGGAGCTTCCCTCCCAAGCTTGGCACCACCTCCCCTCTGCCCTGGCCCGGGTACTTAGGGGGCAGCAAGGTTGAGGAGACCAGGCTGTGTCACCAGCCTCCGGTGAGCCGGTGTGAGGCAGAGCCCCCGACCTGTGTGCCTGGGGTCCAGCGGATTGCTGCCCACTGGGTTGAGGCTAGAGAGACAGCCAGCCAGGTGGATGTGTGCCGGCCTGAAAAGGCACCCGCCTCTGGGCAGACCCATGAGTGGTGCCAGCCATCTGGGCTCTGTGCCCCACGCCTGTCAGAGGTGACAAGGTGGCCCTGCCCAGGGCTGCATGCCTGCTTGGTGACTCTGGGCCTGTGGAGGGTGTCCCACAAGGTGATGCCCTGGGCCTGGCACAGGCGGGCACAAGGCCCTCCAAGGAGGCCTGGGCTCTGCCGGACACCTGCAGGTGTCCGGCAGAGCGAAGCGGGCGTGAGTGCTGGGCAGGGGCTGCTTACCGGCAGCAGCCCCCAGAGGCAGGCCTGGCTCCTATAATGGGCTGACAGGCCCCCGACTGGAAGAGACATCATCATCCCGGCTCCCCCTGGCCGTCCCTAAGACCTGGCGGCCTCCCCGGCTACTGAGCCTTCAAGAGGCCTAGCCTGGCCCTCGAGGATTCTCTGGTCCCCACTGGGCCGTCCGTCAGCAGCAAACCTCTGCCGGACGCTCCCTGATGTGCAGAATGGGGCCCTGCTGGCGGGCTGAAGGAGGCCTTGCTGCCCCTCCCACCTCAGTCTGGTCTCTGCTGCTGGCCAGAGACACAGCCCCCATTGTGTGGTCTCAGGGATCTAGCGCTGTGCCCCCGCCGGGCTCCTGGGCCCCATGCGGGGGGAGGGGCGTGCGGGTGGGTTTGCTGGCAGCTAAAGCTGCAGGCCTGCCCTCGGATCCCCTCCACGGCCCCATGGGAATGGAGAGCTGTACAGGGCGGATTTGCCCCAGGGTTGTCTCTTCAGTGCAGAGGGGGTGTCGTCCCAAAGAACACAGGAGTTGATCTGGCAGCCGCTGGCTGTGTGTGTATGTGGGGGCGGAGCTGTGGGTGGAGGAGGGTCCAGGGCTTTAGCCGAGCATGGAGTCCACATCGTGTTAGTCACTCCACGGGCTTGATTGACCTGGGAGCCTTGGGTGTGGGCTGGTGCCCGAGCCCAGCGGGGACACACCAGACAGGATCCTGGCCTGGGGGAGCCATCCCTGGGTAGGGACAGAGCTCAGAGGGGACGCTGGGAGAGGCCCTGAGTCCAGCCTGGCATCTTTGCAAGCTGAGACCCGAGTTGAGCTCGAAGGGGCAAGCCCAGCACAGATTTGGGGTGCGTGGCTTCAAGCCTTCCTGACCATGTAGCCGTGGCCGGGTGTGGACAGGGCAGTTCCTGGTCAGAGCTGGCTCTCAGAGGCTGGCAGGAAGGGGTAGGAGTTGGGGAGATGCGCCCAGGGGCCTCCTGGACAGGTAGGGGCCGTGGGGCTTGCGAGGAGGGGGCTGCTTCTGCAGATCGAGCAGCCTCAGGCCAGGCACTTGGGGCCTGGAGGAAGACGGCCAAAGGTCATCTGCCCCGTTGAAGGCCGCGTGGCCACCTGCGGCTTGGGCGCCAAGGGGTGCGGGCAGCTGGCACATGGATACCTGGTTGACAGGATCACGTTGGTCTGAGCACCCCACCGATGGCTGTTGTGAGGGAACTTCCATGTGTGTGTGGGCTCCCTGGGACCAGGCCAGGTCTCCTCTGCCCCCCACCCCTAGTGGCTCCCCTTCCCGCACCGACATTCCTGCCTGGACAGATGAGTTCAGTTCTTATAAAATGGGGGCCTGGGGGGCCTGGGCCTGGAGCACACACTGAGAACGGCCTGAGCGTAAGTGTGCCTGTAAGACCACCAAGTCCCCAGAGGGGAGCCTGGGCAGGGGGGCAGAAGCCGGTGGGCTGGGGTTGGGGGTGGTTAGCGCTTAGAATCCTGGTCCACTGTGCCTGGGCCCATGTGCCCGGAGCAGGGGTTTGGGTGGGAGATGGGCAGGTGGCCGAGAAGCCATGGGTGGTCTTCTCCTGGCCCGCTGGCCCCCTTCAGGCCAGCGGTTGAGTGCTCTTGCCTGGGACCGGGAAGGTGGGAGTGGGGTGTGTTAGAGATGCGCCCCAAGCAGCAGGCATCTGGAGAGGGGCATCCCTAAGTGTGGGGAGTGTCCCCATACCACATGGCCGTGCCACCCGCCCGTTCCTAGTCGGCTACCTCCCCAGGTCCCTACCCAGGCACTGGCCCTGGCTAGGCCTTGGGAATAACGGCCTGGCCCCAGGGCTCCGTGGAAGCACGACCCTCAGGCATTTTCCCAAGCTGGGTGACACTCAAGCTCCTCCTCTCCAGCGATTCCTGTTCCCACCACGCTGCCTGCCCCGTGCTGCCCCTCGGTGTCCCCCTGGAAGGGGAGTCAGCGTGGCTTCGCTCTGGGGGCAGCGGGACAGGGGTGAGCAGAGGCCTTGGAGTGTCTGCCAGGGGCCCAGAGCGAGAGGGAGGATGGTGAGGATTGTATTCCCCAGAGAATGGGGCTGAAGGAGACACAGCCCCCGGTTAGCCGTGTGTGGTGGGAGCTGGAGGCCTGGCTTGGAGGCTAGCGTTGGTGGTCAGCAGCAGAGGACGCTATGGAGTCTGGTGGGGCAGACAGGTGGGGGCATGACCCCAACGGGGAGCCAGTGGGGGTAGAGAGCAGGGCACTCTGGTCCAGGTGGGGCTGATGGTTTCCCCCGGGATCCTGACTTGGGTGCCAAGGCCAGGCTGGAGAGGTGTGGGTATGACGTGGCGGCCAGAGCAGCAAGGCTGGCCACTGGGAGTCGATAACGACTTCATTAACCAGTAAGCCAGCGGGCTGGCAGCAGGAGCTTGGCAGACAGCGTCCTGCCTCCTGGCTGCTGTGGTCTGGCCACTGGGAAAGCCGGCCCTGGTCTGCCCCTTGCAAGGAGAGATGCGCTGGGCAGTCACAGTGTTAGAGAGTAGACTGGCACAGGTGGATGTGGCCCTGGCTGGGGCTGGGCAGGCTCATCTCTGAGGCGGTGGCCGGGTCTCTCCCTGGGAGGTAGAGGACTGCAGATTAAAGACTAAGCTTCTATTAAGCCCAGGTGGCAAATCTCAGGTGGGAAGGCTGCCCCCTCCCAGGGTTTGGGTGGTGAGGCTGGTGGGGGGAGCTAAGACCACAGCCCCCGCGGCCTGAGACCCCTGGCCAGCCCAGCCCAGAGCCCCAGGGAGCCCTAGTATTGTGCCCTGAGAGTGGGGCTCTTGGCAGACCTTGGGGTGGACAGGCCTTCTGGAGGCCCCAGGCAGTCCTGCAGGGTGGGTGCACGGGCAGTAGACAGGAAGGCTGGCTCGGCAGACTGATGCTGGAGTGGGCAACCAGGGTGGCTGCAGCCCCAGTGCATCCTTGGGGTACACGGGCAGCTTGCCAGGTGCCAGGGCAAATACCCACGGGCTTGTAGAGGTGGTGTGGGGGACAGAGGTTCCAGAATCTTCTTCACTGAGCAAGGAAGTGGGCCCACCAGGCTGGGCAGGGTTTCAGAGGACGGGAGAGGGTGGCCTGCAGTTCAGGCGGCGGATGGTGGGCCCTGGGGGCAGAGGAGGGACCTGGGGTTGACGTGAGGTGCAGAGTTTGGGGGTTCTGCTTGTTGCCAGGAGGGGGGCAAGGAGGAGGTAGCCCAGGCTCTACCTTACGCCCCTCAGTGAGCTGTCTTGAGGGGTGGACACGTGGCATTGGACAGAGTCCTCAGGGCAGAGAGGAAAGCACACTGGCCTGGACACCCTTGGGAGCGGGGCCTGGTGCAGGCAGGCAGCCTGGGACCCCATCCTCCCGCCTCTGCGTCCACTCACCCAGCCCCTTCCGGGACTCTTCCCCAACCAGAGTGGGCAGTGCCCGCAGGGCCTCCTGGGCTGACGCCGGCCTTGGGATCCTGCATCCTGAGCGGCCTTTGCCCCAGGGCCTCAACATCCTCTCGCTCGTCCTTGGCTCCTGCCTCTACTCAGACCCTAGGATGGTCTCGGGGAGCATGGCCCACCCTGGCTCTCTAGTTCCTTCTGACCCCAGAGCTGCACCTCCCTCTCTGTCCCAGGGTCCCTACTGCACAGCCTCGGAGCCCCCTCCCAATGCCCGATGCCCATCGCTGAGAAGGGCCAGAGGCCCGGCAGGAGGGGCTGCTCACGAGTGGAGCAGAAGGAGCCTCTGTGAGGGGCTCCTTGGGTCTGGGGGCTCCTGGGGAGGGGGCGGCACCCAGGGACCAGGGTGGGCTGGTCGAGGAGGCTCCTGGGAGAGCTGTTGAACTCCCCTCACTGCTGTGCCCTGATGGGCCTGGACCAGGGACCCAGGCTGCTCTGAGCCCCTGTGGCCCCTTCTCTGTGGTTGGACGTTGGCAGTGACCCCCACTACTCCAGAAGGCTCCTTCCTCTGCCTGGGGAAGGTCCCACTACCCGGCCTCCTTGTTGGCCATGGGTGGCTGGAGGAGCCAGGAGCCATGCTGAGAAGGTGGCCAGGGGACTGAGAAGTTTCAGGAAAGGAGCTAGAGGGGTGGCATCTGTTCCTCCCAAGGGGCCCCCCCCATGCCCCAGATCCCTCGTGGCCCCACACAGGGGTTAGACCTGGGGCCTGGCGCTCACCTCTGATGGTCAGGCTCGGGTAAGCCCGGCAGCCCCCCAGAGGATCGGGGGGCTCACACACCTATCTGGACTCTGTCCTGTGCCTTATCTGTTGACCTTGCTGTGTGCCAGGCACCATGTGTCCGTGCCAGGCCAGGCCGCCACGTCCTGGGGGGACACAGTCTGGCTCAGGGCAGGGGTGGAGCAGACCAGAAACATGGCCTCGAGGAGGTCGGGGGCAGGGCCAACTGCAGACCCTGCCCGGAGTCCCAGGCCTGCCCCTGTGGGCCTTCTCCCTGTGGGGTGGCAGCCAGCACACTCTGACATGTCCTTCCTCTATTCATTCACAAACGTTGACCCAGCGCCTGCTAGTGCTCGGCGCTGCTTTGTGCCGAGGGACTGGGCTCTGGCCCAGAACTGGTCGCAGGCTCAGAGGAGGGTAAAAATTTGCCGAGGAGTGGGCAGTGGGCAGCAAGTGGGAGGGAAGGCCCTGCCTCTGCGTCGCTGTGTGTGCTGGCCCCAAGGAAGCGCGTGGATGAGGCTTCCCTCTGAGCTCTCCCACCCCTCCATCCCCCTCCCGGGCCCTGCCCCCCCGCTGACGGTGCTGATCCCCGGCTCTGAGCTGCCCTTGATCCCTTGATCCATCTCAGGCCCTGGGAGGCCCCAGACGAGCTGGCCGAGGCCCTGGGGTGTCCTGGAGCCGAAGCCGCCAGGGCTTTCAGCCTGCCACTCTGGGGTGGGGAGAGGCAGGGGAACCCCGGGGCCAGTGCACCCCCAGGACCAACAGCCAAGGCGAGGTGAGGGCCGGCCAGCCAGGAGGGAGGCCTAGAGCCCCATGATGCGGGCTGCCTCCACGGAGGGCCAGCCTGTGGCCCTGAGCTTGGCAGAGAAGGCCGTGTGCAAAGTGGTGTATGGCGCCCCGCGTCCCCGCCCGCTGCTGCTGCCCGTGGGCCTGGAGCTGTGGCTGTATGTGCAGAAAATGCGCAACCTGCAGAGGAAGAGGTGTGGCGGGCCCCTGGGAGGGCATCTGGGCAGACAGGCCGGGACGGGGCGGAGGATTGGCGCCCAGCTGGAGGTCAAGGTGCAGTTGGAGGATCTTGAGATAAGTGGAAGGGTGGGGGCTTCTGGCTCTGGATGCCTGTCTGGGGCCTCTCCCCACGTTGCCGGGGCCCGTGTTAGATCCCCCCAATCCTTGGTTCGAGATGGCTGTACCAGAAGCCCCATCAGTGTGTCCTCTACCACCTTTGACTTCTGACCTCAAGCCCTTCCCAAGCCAGAAACCTCCTTTGCTCTGAGCCGCTGATGCCACATCTCGGGGTGGGGAGATGGGGTTGGGGGAGGCTGCTCCCGTAATCAGATCTGCCAGAGCCAGTGGGGCGCTGGCCTCCAAAAACACCCACGTTTCAGACCCCAGGTGTCCTCTCCTCCGAAGTCACCTGGGAGCAGAGGGCGGTTCTCCATGTCGGACGGCTGGGTGGGCAGCTGGTGAGGGACACGTGGGCCTTAATTAAGGAGCCTGGTGCGTGGACTGGCCATGGGAGTCGGGCTCCTGCGACGTGGCGTCTGGATGGTCCTTTCCAGAGCGCTGGGCAAGGTGGCTGCCAAGAAGCAGGCATGTCATGGGTGGGAGGCCCCAGGGTCTGGCATCCTGACTCCCGGCTCTCTGTGAGGCCACACGGGCTCGGCTTGAATCTGGGGGAGGCAGCGAGGTGGTGGGGTCCCGAAGCGCCGGCCCTGCATCCTCCACGGAGGGAGGAGGCCCTTCTCCCCAGGAGGACTAACCCTGATGCTCGGGAGTCGTGGCTGGGTGAGGGGCATGGCAAAGGTGGGGGCTTCCCCAGCAGAAAGCTCTGAGCCTGCTCCTTGAGGGGTTCACCAGCCCTGCCCCAGCCTGTCCGCGTGCCCTATTTCTCGATAAGGCGGGAACAGAGCAAACAGGGCTTTGTGGTTTGTATTAAGGTGGCATGCGGTGAGAGCGGTTGACAAACCCTGCCCTGGACAACTTTGTTTAAGGAACCGTGTTGGTTTCTCTCCAGTAACTCCCGATCGTTGCACAATTCTCACAACACAGAGAGGGGGCCAGTGCCTTGGGCTGCAGCACGGCCATTTTGGCGTGGGCTGTTAAGCCACTCTGTAGGTTTTCCACGAACTCTGATAATCAAAAAGCAGTGGAAATAAGACGAGGACGGTCAGGGCCGGTCTGCGACCACACAGGACACGTCTCTCCCCTTCCAGGGCACACTCCTGTGTGTGCGGTCACTGGGCTGGGGGCCACCCGCCTTCACAGGAGGGCCACTCATGGGCCCCTCCTGCCACCTGCCCCACCCCTCCCACCCCAGGGCGCCCTCCAGCTTGAGGCCCCGCTCTCCCAGCCCCCCTGGCATCTGTTTGTGGTGTCCCCTGCTGACCGCCCTCCCGTCCCAGGGCAGGGCGACGGGCTGGGCCTTCAGCCTGGGACCCACATGACCAGCCGGAGAGGACGGAGGAGGAGGCCGAGGCTCTCAGGGGCGAAGCGTCCTGCCCAGGACCGCACAGCAGGGAGGGTCAGAGCCAGGGCCAGCCGGACTGAGTGATCCCCATGCACGTGGCTCCCCCGACAGCCGTGTCCTGAAGGCAACTCGCCTGAGGGCCCGGGGCTGTGGAGGCCCTTGGTGAGCAGGACCCCATCTCAGGGGGCTTTGCAGGGCCCAAGGATGAGGGACTTCTTCTCTGAAGCCCCTGCCCAAGGGTGTGGGGACCAGGGGCTGGCACAGCCTCCAGCAGGGGCGTTGGTGATCACGTAGGGCCCTGAGCCCTCGAAGTTGTCCAGATTCACGGGGCAGGAACCTGGATCGGTTTTCCAGAGGTTGGGTTCATCCTGGGATGTGGTCCTGTCCGCCTCCCCCCACAGCAGCGCTGTAGGGGGGCAGCATGGGAACAGCTGCTTCTCAGGCCAGTCCTGGCCAGCAGCCAGCAGAGCGCTTCTCAGCTCTTGGGGGTGGGGGTCCACCAGGGAGGGGCCTAGATGCAGCCATGCCCCCCAGAGGACTGGAGGCAAGGACAGATGATGGCTGAGCCCCCAGCCCCCCACCGAGAGCTTGTGGGGTCTGTTCTAGGATGCGGGATGGGGGCGGTGCTGGGATCAGATCCTGCCTGTGTGGCCTTGACCCGCTCGCTGACCCTCTCTGAGCCTTGGTCGTCCGTCCGCAGCGGGGATCAGGGCCAGCCCCAGGCTGCCCTGGCCGCTCTGGAGGATGGTGTGTGGTGCCTGCCCCAGGGGTGGACCCCACCCGGCTGGCTGGAACTTGAGGGGAAGCAATGTGTGGAGCCCGGCCACTGCACACTGAGGGTCTTGCTGTTGTCGCCGACTCGTGCCGTCGTCCTGGGTGCTCCTGAGCCCTGGCAGTGAGGAGTGCATGCAGGGAGGTTCAGGCATGGGACGGGCCGTGCGAGAGGCCCCGTGGTCCGCAGTGATGACCTGGAGGGACACAGGTCCCCCAGGCGCGACTGCGTGAGAGGCAGGCTGTGACCCCTCTGTCTCTGTGCAGGATGGAGGCTTCGTGCCTGGAGCTGGCCCTGGAGGGCGAGCGTCTCTGTAAGGCCGGGGACTTCAAGGCGGGCGTGGCCTTCTTCGAGGCCGCCGTGCAGGTGGGCACCGAGGACCTGAAGACACTGAGCGCCATCTACAGCCAGCTGGGCAATGCCTACTTCTACCTGAAGGAGTACGCCCGGGCGCTGGACTACCACAGGCACGACCTGCTGCTGGCCCGGTGAGCCGGGGGCGCGGGTGGCAGCACCAGGGGGCGGCCGTGGCTGCCCCTCACCTGCCAGTCGGTCACTGGGCGGGCGTCCGGGTGCCCTGCCCACAGGAGTGGCAGTCACATGCGAGCACGGTGGCAGGGCTCTCGGGGTCCAAGGGACCCCAGAGGGGGCTTTCCTAACCTGGGAGAGGGCGAGGGATCCACACGTGCCCCCAGGGGGGCTTTCTTTAAGCTGAGACACGTGTGAGCGTGTCTGTACGTTTCCACGTGTGTGAGTATGGTGTGGCCCAGTATTCCGTGTCTGTCTGTCTGTCCACATGCGTGTGCCCATCTCTGGGACTGTGTGTGTCTGGGTCGGTGACCACCCCCTTCCTGCCCATGTGTTCCTGAGTGTCTCCATTCTCCTCCGGCCTCCAGGCCTTGGCCCATGCTGTTCCCATCCCTGGACACCCTTCTCTTGCTGTTCCCTGTGCCCCTGCCCCCCTCAGGCCTGTATGTAGCCCCTTCTCAGCAGCCCAGACCTCCCAGGCTGGGGCAGAGCTTCTCAGGGCTCCCTACCAACCCTGCCCACAGCCCTTCCCCTGCGGCCAGCGAGCCAGCATCGTGTCCTGAGCGCCCGGCCAGTGTGCGGGCAGGCATCCGGCAGATATTCACCGGATGAGTCGTCGTAAAGTTAATTCTCACTGCGAGGGTCCCCAATCTCCCTGTCTCCGTCTGGGGTCTTCCCCCAGCCCTGACAGCTGCAGGCTGCGCTGGGGCCTCTCCCAGAGCTGGCCCAGCAGAGGAGTCATCGTGAGCTGGGCACCCTGCCCATGGGGGCCTCGCCCGCCCACCACAGGAGCCCTGCCCAGCCTTAGCTCAGTGGCCACAGGCTCCTGGTCAGCCCGGGGCTGGTCCTCCGAGGCCCTGACCTGCCCTCACCCGGGCTCCTTGCTGGGCTCAGGGTCCTGGCCGGTCCTCAGCCTGGCCCCTCCCTCCTTCCTGCTCTCCAGGACCATCGGTGACCGCATGGGGGAGGCGAAGGCCAGTGGGAACCTGGGCAACACACTCAAGGTCCTGGGCCGCTTCGACGAGGCCGTTGTCTGCTGCCAGCGGCACCTGGACATCGCCCAGGAGCAGGGGGACAAGGTGGGTCGTCGGCCCCCTGGCTGCCTGCCCCTCTGGCCCCTGACCTGTGGCTGCCGTCCGGGTCCGTGATTCGGTGGGTGACGTACCACTCGCAGCCCCACGCTGTCCCTCGTGGGAGGAAGACGGGAGGACGGCCCCCCTCACAAATGAGGGGCTTCCGGCTTGTGCCGACGCCACGGGGCTGAGGCCCGGCTCCCTAAGTTGGAGTCCCCAGCCCCCCATCTTCTGCCTCTCTCACCAACCTCCCCTCAAATTTGCCAACACCCCGGTCACTCTTCCGGGCCCAGAGGGAGACAGGGTGGCAAGGCTGTGGCAGGAAGCCTGGCTGGAGAAGCAGACGTTGACGAAATGGCAACAGCGGATAGGACAGTGGGAGGTCCAGCCCTGTGCCAACACGTGACCATCCTGCTTTGTGACCTCCCTGTAACCCTGGAGATAAGCATCCTGTCCCCAATATAGACGAGGAAACCGAGGCGGGAGAGGTGACGTGACTTGTCCCAGGTCACAGCCAGAGGTGGCCGAGCCCCAGTGTCCAGCCCTCAGCCAGGAGCCCCTACCCCTGCATGTCAGAGAGGGGCCTGGCCACCCCGATGGGCGGAGGAGAGAGGGGTGGTGGGAGGGGCAGAGCTGGGCTCCCCCAACTCCTTGGGGCCCCAGCCCTACATCAGCATCTGGACTTGGTGATGCCCCCACTCAGGTCCTTGCCTTTGGGGCCCCAAGCACAGTGGGGATGGTGGGCCAGGTGGCGGGTGCACCAGCTCTGCATGCACGCCTTGGGGTGACATCCCCACCCAGCTGCCCAGGGCAGCGGGCTCCTTGGGGGCCATGGCTGCAGAGGCACCCCCCCACCTGGGTGCCGCCCGCAGGTGGGGGAGGCGAGGGCGCTCTACAACATCGGGAACGTGTACCACGCCAAGGGCAAGCAGCTGTCCTGGAACGCCGCGCAGGACCCCGGGCACCTGCCGCCCGACGCCCGCGAGGCACTGCGCAGGGCCTCCGAGTTCTATGAGTGAGTGGCAGGCGCGGCCCCACAGGGCCCAGGCCGGGGTTTGTCCGTCGTTCTACACACACCTCCCAAGCCGCCGCCTGCTGGGCACGGGGACTTGGCGGCAGCCCCAGGCACAGGGCGCCCACGTGGGCCCTACCACCTCCCAGATGGTGACAACTAGGCTGGCCCTCCTGCCCACCCCCACCAGCACCTGTCCTCACGGTCTGGTGGGACTCCTCCAGGCACCGTGTTTCTGCGTCTTCGTCCACAGAGGTGGAGAGAAGCAGGGAAATTGCTGAGCTGAAGCCACACGTGGCGTTTAAAAGACATTGGCTGGAAAAAGGGCCGGACAGTGGGCTGAGCCCCTGGGTGTGGGAGAACCCTTCCCTGGGAGAAGAGGCTGCACCTGAGAACCAGAGGCGGGCATGGGGGGAGCCCCTGACCTGAGCCTTGGAGCTCGGACAGCAGCCGCTCAGTAACACCTGGCCTGCGCACAGCACCTGCTCCAGCGGCTGTGGAGATAAGGGGCCGAGCTGCCATCTTTCTGTGGCACAGGGAGGGACCTACCCGGGAAGGACGCGCCCCGGGGGAGGGGCAGCATCCTCTTTCCTGGGAGGGGGGTCCCTGGGTCCCGGCTTCCCTCACAGTGGGAGGGTTGCAGCTCAGACGGACTCGGTCCCCAGGAGGAACCTGTCCCTGGTGAAGGAGCTGGGGGACCGGGCGGCCCAGGGCAGGGCCTACGGCAACCTGGGCAACACCCACTACCTGCTAGGGAGCTTCGTGGAGGCCACGACCTTCCACAAGGAGGTGAGTGGCTGGTGGGGTGGGCAGTGGCAGGGGTGGGGGCACCCCCCGGCCCCCGTGCTTCATCTGGCCTTGGTACTGGGGTTCCCAGGGCTGTTCCCTCTGGACACAGACGTGGGACCAGCCATCGTGCTGTCCATGTCGGGTCCTGGGGCTGCTCTGTGACCCCCGGGTCTTGGGTCTCTGTCCTCAGCGCCTGGCCATTGCTAAGGAGTTTGGAGACAAGGCTGCTGAGAGGAGAGCCTACAGCAACCTGGGGAATGCCCACATCTTCCTGGGGCGCTTTGACGTGGCCGCCGAGTACTACAAGTAGGTACCCCCTGACCCCGAGCCAGGGCAAGGGGGACTGAGGAGGGCATGGGTGGGGCACCTGGACACCAGGGCAAGGAGGCACCGGCTCCGAGGCAGGGGTGAGTCTGACCTCCCAGCCTCCCCAGGGCCAGGTGGGGTTCTGGCCCCCTCAGAAGTGTAGACTGACAAAGCTGGTGTCCGGGGCCACCAGGGACGGGGAAAGTGCAGTGCCCTCACTGGGTTAGCACTGGCGGAGGCCCTGGCAGCACACAGTGGCCTTGGCTGAGGCCTCCCGTGCTGGGTACTGGGGGTACCCAGAGCTGTCTGTGCTGCTCACCACGGCTCTGGGTGCACGTGTAACCACTCCCATGTGCACTCGGGAGGGTAAGGACCACGAGGGCTCCTGGGGTCCCTGACTTGTGGCGGCAGGACGCTCTCTGGGCCATCTCCCTCCTGGCCTGAGTAGCAGAGCAGTGGCCGCCGGGTAGAGACCGGGTCACCAGCCCTCAGGACCCCGTGCCCCCCGTGGAGGGGTGGAGGCTCAGGATGGTGAGGGGACTGGCCAGCGTGGGCAGAGCCCGGTGGGGCCCCGTCTGTCTGGTTCCAGCAGAGTCAGGTGCTGCAGCCATCTGAGGATGGGGACGAGGCCAGGCCCAGAGAAACCTCGGCCGGATCCTGGGCTGGAGGCCTCTGGGCAGGTGGGCTGCTTCCCCGTCACCCACTGTCCACCCCTTTGGACAGGGGAGGAGACACCGGAAGCCTCCTTCCTGGGTGCTGATCCCCCCCACCCCTCCGCAGGAAGACGCTGCAGCTGTCGCGGCAGCTCCAGGACCAGGCGGTGGAGGCGCAGGCCTGCTACAGCCTGGGCAACACCTACACGCTGCTGCAGGACTACGAGCGGGCCGCCGAGTACCACCTGCGGCACCTTCTCATCGCCCAGGAGCTGGCCGACAGGTGCGCGTGTGGACGCAGGCAGCGGGGCAGACCCGGCCCGAGGGCTCCCGACAGCCTCTGTGGGCTGAACCGCTAGCTGATTGCTGCGGCCTCAGCCCTGCTCTGCCACCAACCACCCAGTCACCCCGAGTGGGGCGGCCACCTGGGCCTCAGCCTCCTATCCTTGGCCACACTGCCCCCTAAGTGGGACTAGGTGAGACCAGGTGGATGCTGGGCCGGCAGCTCACAGCCACCCTTGGTGCATGCTAGTCGAGGGGGCACCCCCGTCACCCGTCCATCGCCCCTCTGAGCACCCCCCATATCTGTGTAAATATCAGTCTCTGTGGAGAGACAGACAGACAGACCAAAGACTGCCAAACAGCCACACGCACTGGTCTGGGGGGCAGTGGCTGGAGCAAGAGAGCTCAGAGCCCCAGGGCGTGGGCCTCTCCGGGTGGTGGAGAGAAGCTTCTGGACGGTGTCCTCCCAGGGAACTGTATGTTCATGCTCTATCCTTTGGGTGATGGAGATGTTCTGGACTAGGTGGTGGTGACAGTCACAGATTGTACATGTACACAGCGCCACAGATGTGTGCACTTTAAAGTGGTTAAATTTACGTTTATGTGATTTTTACCTCAATTAAGAAATTAATGACCGAGGGATTGGTGTCACTGACCCCAAGGGTGGAGGGAGCCACAGAAGTGAGAGCCTTACGGGCCACTAGGGGGCAAGTGAGGCCATGCCGGGAACCACCCCCCTCACAGCCATGAGTGCCCCGCCTCCAACTCCACTCCATCATGACCCCCCACCCACCGGCCTGCCCACCCCCTGGCCTCCTCTGTCACGAGGGGCCTGACCACCTGGAGGCTGGGGGGCTTGGGACAGCCAGGCTGCAGGCAGGCTGGCAGGCCTAGGGGGCGCAGATGTGGACTCAGTTTCCCTCCCCGGCAGAGTGGGTGAGGGCCGGGCGTGCTGGAGTCTGGGGAACGCCTACGTGTCCATGGGGAGCCCAGCGCAGGCCCTGACCTTCGCCAAGAAGCACCTGGAGATCTCCCAGGAGGTGAGCCGGGCCCGCCCAGCCCTCAGCCCCGAATGGCTGCCTTAGCTGGCCTTGGAGGCACCCCTGGCACTGCCCAGCCCACTCCAGACCAGCCAGGTGCCTTCGTGTGTCCTGGGCTCTTTCCGGGCTATTGCTGCATGCTGCGCCGGGGCCCAGCACCCTGTGCCTACAGGCCCGGAGGCTGCTTGTCGGCCGTAGCCAGGAGTCCGGGGGCAGCAGGGGCCTGCTTTCCACCCCCAAGGTGTTAGTGTCCCCAGTGGGCAGGTCCAACTGGGTCCTGCTGTTGGACGGAATGCCTGTGCCCGACACCCAAGGGGAAGATGACCTTCCAGAGGCCGCCCCGGGGCAGGCAGGCGTGGCTGCCCCTGCATGGATCTTCCCCTGGGACTCCCCAGCCAGAGGCCCTCCTGGGGAAGGTGGGCAAGGTCTCCGAGGGCCTGTCCACCCAGGACTGTCCCATTGTGGTCAGGGCATCCCTGACCTGGGTGCTGCAGGGCTGTCACAGGTGGACTCCGGCCACCCAGCTCCTGGCCAGTTCTCACCTCTCCCCTGTCCTGCTCCTCGGCCTCCACCCTGTCTCCAGGAAGCAGCCCAAAGGAAGGGCACGTCACTCCCTTTCAGCCCACCCCTAGTGCCCGCCCAGACCCCCCACAGCCCCATGTCCGTGGGCAGGCGAGGCCCACAGGTGCCCAGGTGGAGGTGTGGGGGAGCAGGAAAGCTCGGGCCGGGAGAGGTCCAGCCTGGAGAGCCCCTGATTGGGGCGGCCAGCAGGGCCAGCCCGCACATCCCTCTGAGCACACGCAGGGCAGCAGTGGCCCAGAGCTCCGTGCAGAAGGCCTGCCGAGCCTGCCTCTCCTTGGCTTGCTCCTCAGCGACGCTCATCACCGCTGTGCCACGAGGGTCCTCCCGCTGAGCCTCTGCTCTGAGCTGGGCGCCAGGAAGAAGGAGCCAGGAGCCTGGCGGGCGCTTGAGGGGTGGATGTGAAGCCCCGGGGGCTGGGAAGGGTGCGGCCCAGAGCAGGCCGTTGGCCCGGGAGAGGGCGCCCGAGAAGGAGAGCTCCACGCGGCACCGGGCCAGGCTACCCGGGGTCCCAAGCATTCCTGGGACGTAGGGGGACTCCCTGGGGCATGTGAGGCCACCCCCACCCAGGGACAGACCCCCAGCCTCCACCTCTGGGGCACATTGAGGCTTGGTTCCCTTGGAGGCCCAGGGGTCAGTGACCGTCCTGTGGGAGCCCACAGCAGGGCCTTCCCGCCTGCCTGCCCACTGACCCGGCCCTGCTCGGCTGCAGATCGGGGACCGCAACGGGGAGCTCACGGCCCGCATGAACGTGACGCAGCTGCAGCTGGCGCTGGGCCGGCTGACCAGCCCAGCGGCCACGGAGAAGCCCGACCTGGCTGGCTACGAGGCCCAAGGTGAGTCCCTGGGCTGGGGGTGGGAGGGGCCCCGTTCCCCACCGGCTCAGACCTTGGCCTGGGTGCAGGGGCCTCGGTGGTCAGGAGTGTGGCAGGAGGGCCGCCCTGGGTGAGGGGGCGCTGGCTCATGCTGGGCCCCAGGGCTGTGCTGGGGCCTCTGGGTGCGGGTCAGGAGGTAGACTCCGGCCCCAGACAGGAGAATTGCTGACAGAGCTGCTAGTGAGGGCCAGGGCCCCTCAGGAGGTGGCGAGCCCCTGTCCTTGAGATGTCAGCATCTGAGCCCCTTCTCTGTCCCGCTCTGGAGTTCACGGCGGAGGGGAGTAACACGGTGTCCAGGGTGTTGGGGTGCAGACAGGGGTCCCTGCTTCCCCGGGGCAAGTCAGGGATCAGGGGAGACTGGAAGGCGCAGGATAGAAATGGGCATTCAGGGGGCAGGGGCAGGATGGGCAAAGGAGTGGCCTGAATCTGGGGCATTCAGGCCAGCTCTTCGTGGTCTCTGGGGCAGCAAGGGCCTGTGGTCACGCTGAGCATCTAGGTTTATCACCTGGTGGTACCATCACCGGCAGGAAGAGGAGGAGAGGGCTGCTCACTGCCCTCCCTGGCTGCTACGCCCTCTGAGGACCCCCGCCAGGCTGGTGGCTGGGCTTCCTGTAGGACTGGAGTGGGAGGGGGCTGCTGGGAGGACTGGCGGCTGGTCAGCCAAGAGGTGGAGGGAGCCGTGCGTGGGATACTAGTCAGGTGAGGCCCTCGGATCAGCTGTGGCCACTATAGTGACCCCGTTCACAGGCTGCTGGTCACAGGTCTGTGATGCTGTGTACACAAGGACAGAATGTTCCCTGCAAAGCAAATATATTAATAAATATGAGGGGGGTAAAGAAGGGTCACCTGAGCTGGCTTCCCAAGGCAGCTGCTGGTGGGTGTGGGGCAGGCTCTGGGCAGTGGCCTAGCTGCCCCCTCCCTGCCCACACGGCTGCCAACCCATGGTCCATGGGTTTCCAGGGCCCTAGCCCCCTCATGGCTGCCTTCCCAGGGGTGCCCACCCTGCCCCAGCCTCCAGAGCCCCCAAGCCTGCCCAGAGCCAGGCCAGGGAAGTGGGTCCCAGCTGTGGTGGCAGGTCTCCATGCCATAATGCTCATGGGTTTCTGACAATGGTGTGTCCTGGGAGACAGGGGGCACATGTCACCCCTACTCAGAGGCTAAGGATGGAAGGGAGGGAGCAAAGGCTTCTGAGACCCTCGGCTTCCCTTGTTTTAGGGGTGCTGTGGCCGATAGGGATGGGATGGAGTGTGGCCCCCCATTGCCCCCCACTGTGCCCCAGGAGGTACAGTTTGGTACCTCCCGTTCAGGCTGGGTTGTCCGAGGGTGGGTAGCTCTGCCCAGAGCCCCTAGCCCTGCGAGGCCACCCCTGGAGCCCCAGCAGCCATGGGGGCGGGGCTGGGCCAGCGTCTGGAAAGGCTCCCTCGGAGGCGCAGCCCAGCTCCGGGCTTTCCTGACGTGTCCCTTCTCCGAGCTGAGGGAAGTGGGGCACACGGTGGGTAAACGGCCGGGCCGTGCAGGAACAAGGCGGCTCTGTCCTCCGTCCCACACTGGCTTCTTGGCTCTGCCCTTTCCCAGCCAGGGCCCCCAGAAGCCTCCTCCCCACCAGGCCACCAGCGCTGGGCCCCCAGCAGACTCCGGGAGAAGGCCATCCTCCCGGGAGGTGCAGCCTGCCTAGGCCCCGAGAGACAGGGCTGGGGGCCCCGGGCAGCCCTGGTGGACGCCAGCCCTGGGATGCAGCTGCTGGAGGCAGGCCGGCGCCCTCAGTCTGGGCGGCCCTGGGGGAGACCCCTGCTCTGGGGAGCCTGGCAGCGGCGGGGCCTTGTGGAGGGAGCTAGTGCAGGGCTTTCTGCAGGGGCAGCATCATTCATTCACTCATTCCTTCAGTGCATACCAAGCGCCTGCCTTCCGGAAACTGTCCCTTGGGGGTGGGGAGGGGGCAGCTGCGTATTCAGAGCCTGTCAGTTTGGTGAGGAGCGAAGGGGGCCAGGTGAGCACGCTGGAGGGGCATTAACCCAGCCGGTGTGGAGGAGGAGGCCTCCAGGGGAGGACGAGGAGGAATTCAAGGAGGAGGGCCTTGCGGGAGCCCGTGGGCGTGGCTGTTGTGATGGGCGTGGCCTGCGATGGACGGTGGGTGCGGTGGTGTTGGCCGGCAGGAGGCCAGGCTCTGGGCTTTTCTTTGCTGTCTTGATAGAAACAAGGGCCCTTTATGCAGCTGAAGGACCAGAGCCCGCTGCAGTTCAGCCTGTGTGTCCTCACAGCCCTCACTGCCCTGCCCCAGGAAAGAGGCCCCAGAGTGGGTCTGGGGGGCACACCTCCCAGGGGCTGCGGCCTGGGCCCGGCCAATCCTCTGCTGGTGTGCCCCGCCCATCCCAGCGAGCACAGGGTGATGGGGCGTGTGATGGAGGTCCCACCGCACCCCTGGAGAGGGCGGCGTGATTGGTGCATAGGAGAAGGGAGCCAGCCCTGAGCTCTGGGGGCTGCCCGCCTGACCCTCTGTGAACGTCCCTCTGCCTGTCCCCGATGGGCCGGGCTGTCCTCTGTCCCACAAGGTGTGAGCTGCCCCGCTGTCCCCGCTCACGCTGTTCTGCGGCTCACTTCACCCTCTGGGCGTCCTGGGCACAGAGCAGCCAGAGTCGCCTAGACACCCATCCGGCCACCTTGCCAGGTTGGGATGCGCGTGGTATAATGGCCAAGCAGCAGTTTAGGCTGCAGGCTCTGGCCCTGGCTCCACCCGCCGTGTCCTGGTTGGCTCACCAAGTGACTTGACCCAGCTGTGCCTCAGTGTCCCCCTCTGGGAAGCGGGTCCACTGGTCGTCCTAGGAACAGGTCCTGGCAGGGTGAGGGCACAGTTTGTGCCCCCAGGGAGATCTGAAGATGTGGGTGCGTCGCCGTCCATCCTCGAACTCAGCACTGGGCCTGCAGCACACCACGTGCCTGGCACCTGTGACGACACATGGGGGCTGCAGGGGGCCCTCATCTGTCCTGCATCTGTCCCTTCTCCGGCCATCTCCACTGGACCTTCTGGGACTCGCCAGGTGAGCTGACTTCCCATGACCGCTGCCCCATGCGGGCACACTGCAGCCCTGATTTCCCATATCCTGCCCCTGGCCCTGCCCCTCCAGGCTCCGTGACCTTGGCCGGGTGGCCGCCCTCCCTGAGCGGCCACAGTCCTCGGAGGGCAGCCATGACTTCTTATGCTGGGGCCGCCCGGAGGGGACAGGGCACGGGAAACTGCACACAGGGCCCCACATGGTAGGAGCTCAGTTGTCACTAGCTCCTAATTCCACGTCCTTGCTAAGCACGTACGACGCCCAGGCCCTGCTGGACTCTAGGGGCACGTTGACAAACAAAACAGGCAAAGGGAGCGAGAAGCAGTGAGGGCAAGGTAAAGGATGTGTCACGTGTTACAAGTGCTTCGGAGGGAAGACACACTGGGGGCTGCCCAGAACTGGGGGGCAGGAGGTAGCAGTAAGCGTAGCAGCCGAGGTCGGCCTTGTGGAGACCACTGTCTCAGTCGGCTCGAATTGCATAACAGAATGCCACAGACCGGGCGGCTTAGACACCGGACATTTATTCCTCATAGTTCTGGAGGCTGAATGTCCAAGATCCGGGTGCCAGCGTGGTGGGGTTCTGGTGAGGGCCGTCTTCTGGGTTTACAGACGGGGTGGGTGGGGTGCGGAGGAGAAGAGAGAAAGAGAGAACTCAGTCTCTTCTCATAAGGGCACCAATCCCATCACGGGGGCCCCACCCTCATGACCTCCTCTCACCCTAATCAGCCCCTAGGGCCCCACCTCCTAACACCGTCACACTGAGGCTTGGGCTTCAACATATGAAATTTGGGGGGACACAGACATTCAGTCAATGACAGTGATGTTTGAGCAAAAACTTTTTTTTTTTGTGAGGGAGATCAGCCCTGAGCTAACATCTATTGCCAGTCCCCCTCCTTTTTCTCCCCAAAGCCCCAATAGATAGTTGTATGTCATAGTTGCACATCCTTCTAGTTGCTGTTTGTGGGATGCTGCCTCAGCATGGCCAGACAAGTGGTGCATCGGTGTGTGCCCAGGATCCGAACCTGGGCCGCCAGTAGCAGAGCGCACGCGCTTAACCGCTAAGCCACGGGGCCGGCCCTGAGCAAAGACTTAAAGGAGAGGAGGGAGTGGGCCATGAGCTTAAATGGGGGAACAGCAGTCCAGGCAGAGGGAACAGCTTGTGCAAAGGCCCCGAGGCAGGAGGAGCCTGGCAGGGGAGGAACAGTGGGAGGCTGTGTCGGGAGCGGAGGGAGCAAGGGGAGAGGTGGGGGATGGGGTTGAAGGAGGGCCTCATGGGCCCTCGTGTAAGCCTCCCATCCACACCAGTGGAGCCCCTGCAGGGTCAGGCAGAGGAGGAATAAGACCTAACCCAGATCCTAAGAGCATCTCTCTGGCCCCTGCATGGGGAAGGGACTACGTACAGGGCAGAGCTGGGGCGGGGAGGCAGCTGAGGGTCCCAGCCAGGTGAGGGGAGCAGGGGTTGGACTCTGAGTCTCTTGAAGCTGCCAGGATTTTGGAAGTGGAGAGTGGAGGCAAGGAAAGAGCTGGGGGCGTGTCCTGATTCCTGGTGGGGACAGAAATGATGACGAGGGTGCAGGTCAGACCTGGCAGGGGTGAGGCGGTGCTCAGGGAAGTCTCCAAGCCTCACTCTCTGGTGGGAGGGGCGGGAAGCGAGCCAGTGGTCAGGGCGGCTGAGCCAAAGGCGCGGGCCGTTGGAGCCGCCGGGTCCAGGATGCCTCGGCCCACTCTCCAGACAGAGGGCGCATTTAGCTGGCCGACCGCCCCGGCCACGTGGGGACCCGCCCCGGAGCCTGACGCAAGCTGCGTCTCAGAGGGGCGTTTCAGCCTCCGCCACCGTCCGGGACCGACCGTGCCACGTCTTGGTGGAGGGCCAGGCAGGGCAGCAGCAGCCGTGCAGGGCCCGGGGCCCAGCGGACAAGGTGGGGAAACCGAGTCAGGCCCCCAGGGTGTCAGGGGGCAGCCGAGGGAGATGCCCTCGGCCAGCCCATGGCGGGAGATGGAGCAGGGTTCTCGCTGGCTGTGGTGAGTAGGGGGCCCTGCACAGTCCTGCCTGTCCTGGGGGCCAGTCAGCCGTCGGGTCAGAGGTGCCCCTCTGTTATTCCCATCGCTGCACATGGGGGGCGGGCGATGCCCCCGAGCACCATTTGATTTTGGAATGATCCCATCGTTTCTTCCTCAGAGCCGCTTTCCTAATGTGGGGTGGAGGTGGGCGGCGGAGGACCCCAACCCCACTTGCTGCCCCACTCCCTTCAGCCTCGAAACACAGGTCAGGCTGCATGCCCTGAGGCCGTACCTCTCCACCTCAGTGCCCGGCCGAATCTGCCGGCCAGGGACTGTGTTCAGGGGACGGAGGTGGGCCCGGCGCCAACCACCACGGTGGAGGGGTGGGGGCAGGAAGCCCTGGTCGGGGGCGTTTGTGTGGGGGTGGGAGGGGCAGCAGACGCCCCTAAGTCCTGGACCCCTGGGGCCACCTTCGTGCTTCCGGGAGCTGCCCAGCTGCCCCCTGGTCTCCTGGGACAGCAGCCGCAGACGCCCCTCAGAGGATCGCTGCATTTCCACCCCAGGCCGTCTCATGTCTCGGCCTCTGGGGAGCAGGGGGACAGGGCGTGGCTCCCTCAGACCCCGGAGGCCAGGACAGGGAGAAAGGCACAGGCTGCCCACACCATCTTCTCCAGCCGGCTCTAGACCACCTGCCCAGTTCTTATGAAGCCCTGGACGTTTGGTTTGGGCTGGTCTGAGTGACTGACGGCCTGAGCCGGCCCCCTCCCTCTGGGGACTGTGTCCCGGGCAGTGGGTGTGGGCCCAGGGTGGGGTCGGGGTGCCGTGCTGAGGGCCCCGCCTGCGCCCCACGCCACCAGCTTTGGCCGTGCACCGGGCTGCGTTGCTTTGCTGCCATCCGCAGCCAGGGGCTGGACGGGAAGACTCTGGGTCCGGCTCCCCAGCTGTCGCCGCAGGCGTCTGCAGAGCAGCCTGGCTTCACGAGTGGAGCCGTGTGTGGCACTGGGGGTGACCTCAGGGCAAACCATCACCCGTGGCGCCCAAGATGTGCCAGGCGTTGTGCATAGCCTTCCCCCGCACAGACGGCAACGTGCTGCCAGCCCCGTCTGACCGAGGGGGCACTGAGCTCCAGAGGGTGGAGAATGGGCCCAAGGTCCGGGGGTGCCAAGGTGGGACCCTTGGCGCGTCCACCGATGCCAGAGGCCTCACTCGCTCTCCACATTGCACTTCCTGGCCTCGCATGGCCCGACCCTCGGCTGAGAGCTTCTCCAGCACATGTCTACGGGTGGCGGGTCACTCTGCTGCGGGAGGACCTGGGCTGCCCGCCGTGCCAGCTGGTTGGCGGGGGTGAGCGACGCTCCTTGAAGGCGGGCACAGGGGCAGCCCAGCCGAGTCGGTGGCCTATGGCCGCACAGACACAGGAAGGGCATTCCAGGAGAGGGAGCTGTGAGCTAAGGCCAGCGGGGAAGCCCCGGTCGTGGGTGGGAAGATAGCCAGGTCCAGAACTCAAGAACTGGACCCTCCCGGGGAGCACCAAAGCCAGACCCCACCCAGGCCCCTGCAGGGTCCGCCCCATCTCAACGCTGATCGCTTGTCCACTTGGGGGGCGCAGAGGTCACACGGAGCGCGCAGAGGTCATGCGGACACTGTGTTTGCCTCCACGTGGGGCCGTGAGGTGGAAAGCTCATCCGCCAGCCCCCGGGTGCAGGCTGCTGATCCTCAGCTCCCCGAGGGTCCTGGCCCCGGCCAGCTGACCTTGAGGCCACGGGTCCCTGCTCAGCTGACCCGGCCCGCTGTCTTTCAGGGGCCAGGCCCAAGAGGACGCAGAGGCTGAGTGCGGAGACCTGGGACCTGCTGAGGCTCCCCCTGGAGAGGGTGAGTGGGGCTCGGGCAGGCAGCTGGGGACACGTGGGGACGACATCAGCAGAGCAGCAGCCACTGCAATTAGACGCAGAGCGTGGGTGGCGGGTTCACGAGGCCGGGCAGTGTTTGCTGAGCTGCTGCCCCTGTAGCTCCTGTCTCCATCACGTCCCCTGCCCTGGGAGACTATTGTGCCCTCTGCGGCCTGAGACCGTAGACAGGCCGTCTATCCTCCGAGAGGCCCCCACAAGGCTCTGCGGTACCCGTGCCTGCTCGCTCCCACCTCACCACAGGGTCCTGCTGGCTGTGTGCCCCGGGGACAAGCCATGGTCCCTACACATTGCAGACCTCCGTGCCCCCACCTGGCCACTGTCCTCAGTGTCTTGGCTGGCCCTCACTCCTGTCTGCTCCTTGCTCATCGGACTCTGCCCCATGGGGGAACAAAGCTGTCATTGGTGGAGCAGCTAGGGCGCGGAGCCCCCAAATGGATTCGGGGGCTGGCTGGGTGGGGCCTGGGCCTGCTCTGGACCTGCCAGGGGCAGGTGCTATGTGGCCCTGGAGGAGTGGCCGAACCTCTCTGAGCCTCTGGTTCCTCCAGTGTAGACTGGTTTCAGTTGTGGATGCCCATGGGGGGCCTACGGGGGACAAGGCTCAGGGGTGCCTACAGTCACTCATTGCTTAGTGTGGGAAGGTCAACATTTGGGCCCTGACCTCCTCCAGCACCCTGCCCTGCCTTGCCTGGCCCCCATGAGGGTCCTGGGATGGGCAGCATTGGTTCAGAATTGCCAGTAGCCCCTGCCCACGCCTGGCCTTCCGCCCCCTCCCCAGGAGCAGAATGGAGACAGCCACCATGCGGGGGACTGGCGGGGGCCGTGCAGGGACCTGCTCCCCCTCCCCGTGAGGAGCAGGAAGTACCAGGAAGGGCCAGACGCCACTGAAAGGAGGCCCCGGGAGGGCGGCCACCCCCTGCTGGACAGTGCGGACGTCCGGGTGCAAGTGCCTCGCACGGTAGGTGACTTCTCCTTGGGGGCCAACAGGGAGCCCTGGCTGGGGCCTCCACCACCCATCCTGTGCAGCAGGCCTGGGAGGCCGGGCCCGGCCACTCCAGGGGGCAGAGGTCATGGCCCTGTGCTGTCCCCTGGGACCTGGTGGGCACAGGACCTACTCGATAGTCTAGGGTACTCGCTGCAGGGACACTGCACCGGCCTCAGCGACCCCAGGCCACACAAGGAGCTGGACTGAGGCCTCATGGGTGCAGAGGCAACAGACAGCCCAGCCAGGGGCTGCAGGACAGCTGGGCGTGGGCAGCTCAGGTCCTCAGGCCCGGCCAGCAGCCCCGTTCTGGGGACACAGTCAGCATACAGAGATGGACGGACAGAGCAGGGCTAGGTAGACAGATGGACGGGGGATGGAGAGATGGGGGACAGATGGATTCCGTGATGGATGAGGAGGGATGGGTGGACTGGTGGTCAGGTAGATGGACAGATGGAGGATGGAGGAACAGGGACTGGGCCTCTTGTGCCTAGGAGCCTGGGCTGGCCTCTCCAGACTCTCAGGAACTGGTCAAGGTTTTGGGGGCACAGAGGGGTAAACCCACGTGCCTGGCTGAGACTAGGTTCAGAGGTCATCCTGGAGCACCCCATGCAGAACACCTGGGTCCAAAACTCTGGGAATTAGTCTAAAAATAGTTCTGTCCAACGGCTTAATCAGCACCTTCCCAGCCTGCGAGGGGTGTGGGCACTGGGCTGCGTATTCTTAGCCCGGATGGCTGCTTCGCACCCATCTGTTGCACGAGCCTGAGGACGCCTCGCCGACCCCATTTGACCCCAGTGCTCCTTGTCCGACGGGCCGACTGCCGGCCAGGGTTAGTGTCCGTGGAGTGAGAGATGAGCGGGGGAGGAGGGCGCCAGGGGCCGGGCTGCCCCCGGGGAAGGGGAGGGGATCCCTGCACGGTGCGGGGGCCACCCGTCAGCCCAGGTGAACGAGGCTGTACTGACACTGTTGGGGGCTGGCCCCACCCTCTCTCCCACCCCAAGCCCAGAATGTGGGGCCTCGCCGCCAGCGCAATGGAATCTTTGGGGTCTGAGGGGCCGTGAAAACTCAGCCTGGGGCGGGGCTTGGAGAGCAGGGCTGGGCCAGCCCCCAAGGTAAGGGCCAGAGGAGTCTTGGGGGGCCGGCCAGAAAGAGCCTGGGCAGGGGAGGATGCCAACGCCAGGCCCTGGGGAGCCATGGTGGGCTCTGGAGCCTGACGGGCCTGCCCAGGGCCAAGCAGGGGGCGGGCAAGGCCTGGCCTGTGCTTCATGGCCCCCATTGCCCCCACTTCTCCATGAGGGACCATCCTGACCAGGTGCCGGCGCAGCCACACCCGCCGTTGTTCGTGCTGTGGAGCAGGGGCTCAGTGAGGCGGGTGCAGAGCAGGGAGAGACTTGTCTTTCCGATTCCCCCACACCCCACAACCATACCAGCCTCCCCACATGAGGGCTGTTTTTAAAGTCTCTCCAAAAAGACCACCTAGGCAAAGCCGTGTGTCCCCCACCCTCCCGTCCCAGGGGTCTCGGAACCTTGGGCCCCAGATGCGTGACCTGGGAAGGTGGAGCTCAGGCAAGCTGAGACGGGACGTGGCTCCTGGTGGCCAAGCTCTCCGGGTCCCGACCGGGCTAACCCGTGCGGCAGACCAGCAAGCACGGTGAGACCCGCTCTCCTGTCCACACGTCAGTTCTGCCCCAGCTGCGTTCCTGGTGCTGCTGTCCCGGAGCCCCTTCCACCAAAGAGACAACAGCTGATGCTCAGGCTTTTCACATGTAGTGAGTTAATAGCAGCTCTAAGAGAGGAAACTGAGGCACAGGGTGGTGAAGAAGCTGGCCCGAGGGCGTCCAACCAGGCACGGTTGGAGCTGTGGTTCTGAGGTGGGGTCAGCTCCTGGCAGCCCCAGCGTGGCCCCTGTGGAGAGCTCGATAGGGCTTCAGGCCACGGTCCCCTGGCAGAGCGCTGAGCTGGCCCCAGCTGGAGGCCTGGACCCCAACGGTGGGCTGAGCCCCCTGCTCACCAGGCGCGGGGCCCAGCTCCCCTGACAGGAGGCAGCGTGGGGAGGCCGGGCCTGGGCTCTGGCGGGACCCCTCCTTCCCTGGGGATACGACGAGAGGGGGCCGGCCAGGCAGCTCTGAGCTCCTGTGGAAGGAACAGGACAGAGAGGGCCCTCGGAGGGGGCTCTGGTGTCCCCCGTTCTCTTCACCTCTCCTGTGGGGGCTCACATCAGCTTCCCTAGACGCCTCGTGTGGTCGGCCCTGCCAGGCCTCAGGGCTGGGCTGAGGGTCGTGCTGTGAGCAGGGGTGGGGCCCGTCCTGGGAGCCAGCTGGAGGACAGGCCTCCTAGAGCGGGAAAGGGACAGCGAGGTGGGCGGCGTGAGGCTGGTCAGAGGCCGGGGGCCATGTGAGGAGGTGGCCGTGCAGGGGCGGTGTCAGGCCACATGGCCCGTGCCAAGGGCCACCAAGGCCCAGAATGGGAAAGGACACCAGTCTGTGTGGCCCCTTGCTGGGCTGCGGGCTGTGGGCTGCAGCAGCCCCAGCCTCAGGAATCGGGGCCAAGAGAGAGGCAGCTTCTCCCAGGCTGGCCTGGCTTTGGAAGGAAGGCGGGGGCCTGCTGTCAGAGGAAAAATGCTTTCCAGACAGGCTCCCACCCCCACCCCCAGTCCCCGTGTGACTGTCCACAGGCCCTGAGCGAGCGGGCTCGTGCTGTGCTTGGGGAAGTCCACTCAGGCGTTTACGGAGCGCCTGTGTGTGTGTGTGTACACGCACGTGTGTGTGTGAGCGTGCCTGAGTGTGTGTGTGTGAGCCTGTGTGTGTGTGAGCCTGTGTGTAAGTGTGCCTGAGCCTTTGTGTGTGTGAGCCTGTGTGCGTGAGCCTGTGTGTGTGTGAGCCTATGTGTGAGTGTGACTGAACCTGTGTGTGTGACCCTGTGTGTGTGAGCGTGCCTGAGTCTGTGTGTGAGCCTGTGTGTGCCTGAGCCTGTGTGTGTGTGAGCCTGTGTGTGTGTGAGCCTGAGTCTGTGTGACCCTGTGTGTGTGTGAGCCTGTGTGACCCTGTGTGTGTGTGACCCTGTGTGTGTGTGAGCCTGTGTGTGTGTGCGAGCCTGTGTGTGTGTGTGAGCCTATGTGTGA